TTCGCTCGCGAACGTTTCGTAAAACGGCCGCGACCTAAATCAGTGTTTCCGCCTACGTGAGTAGTCGCACACGGCGCTATGCGCTGGCACTACGGACGATAAATGGACACGATGCACGTGCTATTCGTTTCGATCGACCGGACGAAAGTAAGCCATCCTTCCCTTCGCGCGTAAAACTTCTGTAATCTTCCATTAGTGCGATCATTTGCGTTCCCTCGAGGCGTAACTCGCCGAGGTATGCCTCGCGAGCTCGCGGTCACAGAGGGAGAAAGGTCGACGTGGGGGAGAGTCACCGCGGGTGACCCTTAACGCGCGAGCCAAGCGCCACTTGCCGCTTGGGTTACGTAGTCTATTGACTTCTTTAGTTATCGATTAAGCGTCGTGCTCCCGCTTTCGCGACGATTGCGATGTACAGGGTGTCGGGGAAGCTTCTCGACCGGCGAACTGAACAGTGATTCGGCGAAATTCGCGGCAATTAACGAGGAATTTGTTATTCCGTATGAGCTAATGACGCAGGAAACGGTAAGTTGAATGGCCCGGCAATCCGGCTGCTCGTCGCGTTTCTCCGACCGGAGCCACCGTGAACATAACGAGCGGCGATTGGCGGTCATTAAACGAACCGTGTGCGCTCGTTAGCTCGTACGAAATTTCTCGCAAACGGACATCCTGTGTGCGCCTATATCGCGAGCCAAAGGAAGATTTCGAAGAGTTATCGAACGATTGCGTTCTCTCTGGTTCCCAGCTTGTAGGAACGTGCGGGGATTTAACCCGGGGCATCGAATGCTTCCCGAGAATCTCGACAACTCGGGCGAGAAATGTTGGCGAAAAACGAGTGAAAGAGGATCCGTCAGAATGTAGGGAAACGCGCGCGAGCTTCGTCGTGTCGCCATCAATCAGCGTATAAAGCATTGCGTACGATTGACTTTCGCGTTTCTCGCTTCGATACGCTTTTTCATACACATCCGCGCGATCGGTTGTTACGCACGCGCAGCGTTACGATCGCGCTCGACCGTGCCGCACCGATCGATGTACCGCGAGAGCGCGTTTTCCGTGTTTCCACGCGAATCTCCCGCGACCCGACGGCGACTCCGGTTATACACCCGAGGGTTACCCGAGTCTCCAGTATTTTCTAGATATTCCACAATCGAGAGCGCGCCATTGAAAATGTATGATAAATAACACCGGGTGTTCTCTCACACGCGTGCACTTTCGATACCGAAAGAATTTTCTCGGTTTTCAGTCGATTAATCGGTGAATTATTTAGATGGAACAAAATCCGATGCTTCAAAGATGCGTCGTTGAAAAGTGACAAGTAGCGACCTTTCGCCATATTTTCGCTGATAAGGAGGGAGTCAGGTCTTCAGGTGTGAAGAATCTCCCTGCACGGAAATTGTAGGACACCCTATTATAGGTTGCATTCTGGTATGTACACGAGCGGAAAACCGTCCCGGAAGATTTCTCTAATGTGTCAAACGCGCGGCGTTGCGCATCGATTTTTGCCATGTTGATGGTTTGCGAGAAACGCGCGAAAACGGTGGGAAAGTTGCGGAGAGGAATCGTTAAGTCTCTCTTGTCGCGGATGATCGCGCTCGCGGACGTGCGCTGGCGGTTTCGCTCCCGCATTCGACCACATAAAGAAAGAAAAGAAAAGCAAAATCTATAATTATCTACTCGGTGTTTTTATTTGGTTGTTATTTAAAAGCAATTATATTTGGATCGTCTTATCAGACGAGCGAACGCATCGAAAGTCGAGTCGCATCGAGCGAAGAAAAAAGGAAAAACAAACCAAAAAAATGAACTCTTCGCAACTTTATCGTCGCATAACTCGCTTAATCGCGCCCGTCGAATTTCTTAACAATGAGAAATCAGTGGGCCGAGGTGAAAGAAGAGAATCCCGTGTCGACGAATTTGACGATGATACAAGCTTGGTTACTTTCAAACGAGCCATTTTACAGTGCCACTTACCTTCGTTTGGGACGAAAAGCCAAAACTGTCTGAAAGCGAACGGTCGTCGCGTGTCGTCGATAATGACAAATGCATCGCCCGCATATTTCATTCTACATCCGTTTAATTCATCCTCGCTCATTCGCTCTCTGTCAAATGTCTCTAACGGAAATCTCGTCTTCTGAACTGTAGGCGCGCAACAAACCGGCCGATGGTGTGGGTCATGTGAATCAAAAAGGTGCCTCCGGTCAGAAAGCGACGACGGCTGGTCAGAAGGTTGCGCCGGGCACTAAAGTTGCGACGAAACCGGCCCAGAAACCGACGGCTCAGAAAGGTCAAGTGAAAGTGACACCCAAGGCGGCCTCCGTAAAGACCGGCAAGAACAAGAAGAAAGGGCAACGGCAACAATACGATCTTATCGTCACCATTAACCTGGTAAGTGTCGCCATTAAGCAGGTGTATCGATCGATCTGACATTATGCCAGATTATGTGATTAAAATGCATCAAGACGGGTGTCAGAATCACGGTTGGAAGAATCGTGCCGGAGCGATTAACTAATTACGATTGATTATTCGTAAGGTCACGTCGCCCCGCTCGACGATCATTGCCGCTGCACGTAAGATTGTCGAATCACTTTTGTCAACTAACGCGTGCACATCGCTAATAAATACGACTGACCCAGTTGAACGTGCCGGACGATCGATAAGTTATACGCGCGACACACGTTTGTCGTGCAGCTTGTATCTCCGAGATCCGTACGCGATCGGACAAATTCACGTTTCTTTTCCGACGTGTTATTGCCCCCTATTTCTTCTACCAAACGAACGGCGTGATCTCGTACAGAAAATTTCCCTATTCGTCGTTACCATGCAATAAAGTTACTTCTGCGTCAACGATTGTCGATTAATTGTCGCTGCTAAGAATTTCATTACATCTTGTTACCCATCGCCGACAGTATAAAAATTGTCAATCGTACGTAGAATTTGTCATTAAGGCGAAAAAACTACTTCCGTGCGCGCATAGTAGAGAGAGAGAGAGAGAGAGAAGATTAATTCATACTGAATTTATACTGATGTCGCGCAAGAGCGAAGAGCATCGAGGAGGAAGGGGGCTGCGGCATCCAATCGTAGAAGAGACCTGGTCTGGTTAAAAACAGATCAAGCTTGCCGAAGCTCGATTCTCGAACACGCGCGTCTTTGTCATCGGGCGGGCCGTCCGTGCGACACGCGATGCCAAACGTCCAGAAGCTACGCCGGCGAACGTATCTTCTTCGTCTTTCAAGTGTGTGTGTAGACACGCGCGCGCGCGCGACTTCGGCTTCGATTTAAACTTCATCCAACGTCTTTCCCTATGCCACATTAGTTGGCTATTTTTACTCATCCAACTATATACATACATATATATATATATATATACGTGTGTGTATGTATGTATGTGTGTGGGTGTGTGTGTGTATTACGTTCCCGACGAGTAGTGTCGTCCGCGTAATCGTTCAACCAGCGAACCTAACCGGGGAAGCATCGACGTCACGAGATCTCTCGGCTGGCAAGCCGAGCGTACCAAGAGAGTAATCGCGACTAGCAGCGCGATGTTGAGAGGATTCTTCGGATATGTCGAGTCTCCTCTTTCTCACTTTCTCGGTACCGGCCACGGGAGGCCTTGAGGGAGAGTCAGCGGCGGCGGTCCATAAATATTGGTTCGAGCTTTCAAGGGATTCGTCACAGCCGGAGACACAGTCGGCGCGCCGGGATCTCTTCGCCGGGGAAGAGCGTGATAGCTCGGTGAATCGCGCTCGTACGTCTCTCGCGCATCTGTGATGGAAGCGAAATGTCGAGGACAACCGCGACGAAAGAGATGCCCACGTAGACTCGCAAACCCCCGTTCGTTTCCCGGCGCATCGCGACACACGTGACGGCCATCGGGGGAAACATGGCGGAGGCCGAAAAAAAGTACACGTACGCGTACGGACAGCTTCGTAGATTGACCAGCACGATAGACGGTCAAACGAGACAGATGAGTGTAAGTGGGCCAACGGGTTTGCATTATCCATCTCCCCGGGAGGAACGTCTTTTTCAAAGACGACTGATGTATCGACACTTTTTTACCGCGTCCATCCGCTCTCGATGCTTTCGTCGGGACAGCCGAGTAAAATCGACGATAATTAAAATCGAAACGTCCGAATCCTCTGTAGAAGCGGCGGTAGTTTCGCGCCGCCTTCCCCGACTCACATTGCGACACGTTATTATTAATAATTCACCACGCGACCTTTCTTCGTCGCGCGTCGGGCGTTTCGCCAAAATTCCCTCGATTGACCTCTCTCTCTCTCTCTCTTTCCCTCCCTCCCTCTCTCTCTACCGTGCGAAAGAAGATCATAGAAGATCATTGGATTGGTTGTTCACCCGCGGCTAAGCGGCGAGCATCTTTCTAGACGTCGCTCTGAGCGTTTCACGCATATATATTTAAATATACGCATGTTACTTTAATGTTAATTAATAGGTGTACAGCGCGGAAAATTGACCCGAGATCATTTTTTCTCTTCTTCTATTTCAGTCTGAATACGGACTCACGGAGGATCAGGTGGCAGGTGAGTTGACACTATTCCACGGTTGATTTTACAGAAAAAATATTGTACACGACACACACACGGTGCGTTTTAATTAATTAGTAAGTAAGGTACGGCAAAAAGACGCAGGCAGAACGCCGTTTTCCCTACCAGTGCGACTCAAAGGGACGCAAAATGAGACAAATAATTTCCAAAATAGAACGGTCAATGTGTCGGCAATTTATTTTACCGGTGTTTGAAAAACGACAGAAACTCGTAGAATGCAATTACGCGACGCACAGTCAACCATGCGGCAGGATGACTCATTAGCAACGATATCATCGTGACACTCGTATCGATTGTACATACCTACCGCGTAATTATATCTACTTCTCTGAGGCCGTTCTTCCAGTTGTAATTTATACTTTTCTGGGATAATATGCAACATACCTTCCTTTCTCTCTCTTCTTTCGCTAATTATTAAACAATTAAACATTAATCATATGCGGGTCTCTCACGTAAGAAAAAAGTTTGTGCATGTACATATAGCGTATATATGCGATTTATATTTCTTTATTTATGTGAATTTACTACATTTTTGGGGAATTTATGAGAATTTACTACATTTATGGGAATTGAAACATTCATGGGGATTTACTACATTTTTTGTGATATACTAGTCGAAGCTGCTCTACTGCGGCGCAAAATGAGCTCTGACGAACTAAAATTCCAGACTCGACGAGCGGAAAAAAGGGAAGGAAAAGAGAGAGAAAAGAGGGAATAGTTGGTGAAAGTGTAAATGTGACATCAACGATGAGGATAAACCGCTGTATATTTGCCGCGTTGAATATCGCTATATAACGTAGAATGTAACAATGAATTGGCGATCGTATAACGCGATATGCATGCAAATTCACTTGAAATATACCTAACTACTCAAGTCTCAAGTATGATCACGCGGCACGATTGCTGCGAAACTCTATTATCTCGCAGAATTCAAGGAGGCATTCATGCTCTTCGACAAAGACGAAGACGGCACAATTACGATGGCGGAATTAGGAGTCGTCATGCGATCTCTCGGTCAAAGACCATCGGGTAAGTCACTCGCGAGTCATACCATGCATTTATCTTTACGGTAAATGGCGGCCCGACAAAACGAGAATTTATTTCAGAGACAGAATTGCGCGATATGGTGAACGAAGTGGATCAGGACGGGAATGGTACGATCGAATTTAACGAATTCCTGCAAATGATGTCGAAGAAGATGAAAGGCGCCGATGGCGAGGACGAACTTCGCGAGGCATTCCGGTAATAAGCAGAGCGTGCAGTGCCCGAAGTGCTCGGTGGAAAATTGATTGTCTCTCTCGCCCCGTGTGTGGGCGAATCGTGCTTTTAGCTTGAGACAGGATATACAGTCAGTCACGATTGCAACACTTTACTTTTTACAAATTTCGGAACGTGTCCAATGAGAGAATTCGTTTTCCAATTATTCTGAGAGATGTGTAGCGAAAGAAAAAGCGTGTCGCAACCGTCTGACCGTACAGTGTGACCGACGATTCGGCATATTGTGCGTTCATATTGTGTGTTCATTGTTTCTTTTCTCAGGGTGTTCGATAAAAACAACGACGGCTTAATCTCCTCGAAGGAGCTGCGACACGTGATGACGAACCTCGGGGAAAAATTATCGGAGGAGGAGGTCGACGATATGATCAAGGAGGCGGATCTCGATGGTGACGGAATGGTCAACTACGAAGGTAATCAATCCATTCGATCTATCGCTTCGTACTCGTAGGAATTGCATAATAGTCACCGCGTTAAATTGGCATTATCGTCAATGCAATAAATTCCATGTCGTTATGTCGCGTCTAATCGACGCATAATTTGTTTCCATAATAAAATATCGGCTAATATAAATGTAATTATGCAAACATTATATATTTTGCCATATAATAGAGCTAGAATAACAGAGAGAAAGAGAGAGAGAGAGAGAGAGAGAGGGTGCAAGTTGGTTGTTTAATTCGAAAGCTCATCCAATTGCACGGAGCTTGAAATTTTTCATCCATTCTTTTCCCTCTTTTCTTATCGTTACTTAACAAAAAGACATCCCATTGACCAAATGTGCGCGTGTTCCAGAATTCGTGACGATTCTTACGTCGAAGAATTAGTTCGGAGGCCTCGAAGACTCAAAGGGAGTATACCAGATGTACCAAAATTGTGGCTCTCCGAGGACGAGAAGAGAAGAGAGGAGCTCGCAGGCTGGGATTTTTCGCGATTTTTCGAAAATCGTAGCGACTGATCGTCTCACATGCTCCATGAAGTCGCAGCGAAGCCGTCGAGAGAGAGAGAGAGAGAGAGAGAGAAAGAGAGAGAGAGAGAAGGATGAATAACTCATCCGGCGACCCGGCTGCTGAACAAAAAAGTATCGCCGCGCGAAGTCGATTTCGACAAACGGGGTGCCGTGAGATCGCGCGTCGCGATAGTACTTTCGTTGATGAATAGCGTGAACGCGTAAATAGCAGTAAGTAGCAGCCGAGCGGAACGGAGAGAGAGACGGCTCCATCGGCTCGTCCAACGCTGGATGTGCAATCTACCGCGGGGAAGGATCGACCGATGAAACGGGAGAAAGGAGGAAACGTACTCTTGCGATACAAGTACGCGCGTTACTTACAGACGCGCATGCGCGCGCGTACGGGTTCCTTCGGACTAATCTTAGGCAAGTACTCGAACTTTAGGTTGTAATGATAAACAATTAACTAAAGAGATTATGTCAAAACGACGGAGGGGGAGGGGGCGAGATCTGCCGCCACCCGGAACAATCAACCGAGCTTCGTTTTAGACGTACCCTTTAATCTTTATCTCCTCCGGTGACTCAACGGAGCGACTTAGAAGTTAATTAGCTCTCCGCATCCTCTTAAGCGTTCTGCGAGAAAGCTTGGAGTATATTAGTATACATATGCGCGTTTACACGTAATAGATCGATATATATATATATATATATATATATATATATATATAGTCGCGCGTTATCCTCGACGCGACGCGTCGTACCCCGTACTTGGAGTGTGTTTTTACCGCTTATACTACATACAAATACGCGCGCGTAATAACCATAAGGTATAGTCACACGTACGCGTGCATACATACATCTCGTCGTCGCTCTCGTCACCATCGTCGCCTTAGTGTGTCGACGGGCCGCGACATAAAGTAACTCGAGGCTTCAACGCGTCGAGCGAAGGCACTCGTATTATACGAATCATCGTAACGCTGCGCTCTACGGGCTCGATCGTCACACCGACGAGTCGGATGGAGGAACTCGCGAGACATCAGCCGGAATTAAGTCCAACCGTGTATCACATGTGACTATCGCCGTAAATATTGCCGTGAATATATTGCCGTAGATATGGATTGAAACCGATCGAATTGTTATCCGCTACGTCTGCGTTTATTGTGACAGCTGTTCGGGTGTATCATGAAATAGCTGGAATAACAGACGAGCCGGCGTAGTTGTCGCGGTAAACGCGGTACAGTGGGGCCGAAACGAGCGTGGAAAAACGTCCTTGGCGAGGTCAGCCGATGAATAATGATCGTTCGATTCGTAGTCGCGTCGATGCGAGAAAGCAGAGGGAATGATCGATCACTGAATTGCCATTGATGTGTCAATTGGGAAAACGACCGACGCTCGTCGTAAGTATCGGTTCAACGGTTGGCGCGTAACAGACGAGAAAAAGTGTCGCGGCGGGAGCATCCCCGGTGAGAGAAGGGGCACGATCTGTTTTCCGCGCGATCCCGTCCTATCACGCCCTCATTTTACCGCCCCGGAGGGACGAAGCAACATTGTAAACATTGTGTCGTATGTACGTATAGAGAGAAATCTTGCGCGCGCGCGCGTTAACACGCAACATAGACGGATAGTATTGAATAATCATAGCGAGGGATGAAAAGGAAGGAGAAACGTAGGTATCGCCTTCCAGATTCGGCGATTTTACTTTCGGCTCGATCTATCATGATACGATCGTGATATTCGTAGCACACTCGGGCATCGTGCGCGTCTGCTCGTTCACACATTTCGACAACAACATTATGTTTTCTCACCGATTGATTCGCGATGAGAGAGACCTGTCGCAGAATCCGCTGAATCTATCGTTTCTTTCGCAACGTCAAGTTTTCCATGCGTACTCTCCAACGTACGAACGAATCATCCGCGGATCTAGTCACACGACGAACGACGAATGTCCGCGTACGATGTATTCGTTCAAGTCACGCGAAACTTCGCGAGATATCATCGCGACTCTCTCTCTCTCTCTCTCTCTCTCTCTCTCTGCCGGCCTTCTGTACATGCGAATTATTATATATTATATACGTAATATGATGTTGCTACCAGAGAACACGTGTGGAAAAACGTGGATATTCGTACATATATACAAGAAAGAGCACCGAAAACTGTCGTCTCTCTTTTTTCGCTTTGTAACAGATATTATTATCTCTAGGGAATCTGTGAAGGGGCAAAAGTCGTTGCGAAAAGAGAACGCTATTTATTTATAGAGATAATAATATTGTAACGGTGAGTGAAAAAGGTGCGTGTCGCAGTTTCGAGTGGCTGGTCCCGCTGTACAGGGTGGTTGCGCCAACGTATCGAGCGGTATGCCGGTTTGCCGCTGGTAAAAAGGGCACGTGTGAGAGAACGCGCCGCGCGGTCGCGCGCCTTCTCTCTCTCTCTCTCTTTCACTCTTATCAACGGTAACCCAGCACACTGCTCAATATATTGACGCAACATCCTTTACGTCACGCTTCGTATCAACGTTCGTAGCTCGTTTATACGCTTCAACGTACGAATGCCAAGATGTATGAGGAAAATATACATATATATCTTCGACGCGCGCCGAGTGCGCTCGGAATGGCTCACCGTGTCCCGGTCGGTCGTTATTATAACGCGACAAATGAATAAGGTAACATGCGCACCGCGCTCAGAGCGCGTCGACTGTAAATAACTACACCTAAGAGAGATTAATGCCGATCAATGTATATGTCCTCCGCCCGCGCTCTACACATATGCACGCACGCATGCACGCGCGCGGCATGAAGCGAGAGAGAGAGAGAGAGAGAGAGGGAGGGAGGGAGGGAGAGAGAGAGAAAGACGAGAAGATAGAAGAATAACACAAATACTTTGCCGCACACCGTCAGTTATCTTGTCCAATCGTCATATCGTTTGTGAATATGAAATGAGCCGTGCGACAGATGTATGATAAAATGTTCGTACACGCAATGGTTCGCAATGCACACAGCAATACTCTTTCAACGCGTTATGTTTCATCGAGAGGCTTGGATAAAGTCGAGTGTAGCTAATCAGATCAACGAATCGATACCGCGTGTACGGCCTGTTGAAAATTTCCCGGATGGATTTCCCACGGGGGGCGTATAGGATGCGAGAAAATTGACACAGGAATCCGCATGGTGCCGTGAGAATTCGCATCGGGAATCCACTTGGATTGTTACACAGGTTTTTCGAATCCCCCGAGGCGGGCACGGGATTCCGTATGGATTTCCACTCTGGTCTTTTTCAACAGATCTCTCTCATTACTACTACAGAAGCAAACACAGCTTATATCCGATAGAACACTGCCGTGATGTCTGACGGAAATCCGCTTGTCGTCGATCGTTGATGTATAAATTTTTGACTCTCAACGAAAGAGGAGTAAGCCGCAACTAAAGGAAGTCATTCTCATCATTTCTCAACACACACGCAGATATAATACAATTATGCCGCTTCCGAAAGTTATTGAATCATCGGTAGTCTCTCTTATCTCGGCAGTGCGTGGTGCTCACAAAGCACACTAAGAAAAGACCACACCGATAAAATGGAGGGTGTCGAATCTGTAAAATATACGACGACATGCGGGCGTGTCATTTGTCGCGTTTTAACGCGAATGCGCAGAAGCAAGAAGAGACAGTCGTGTGTTTTTGACAATAATATATTTTCATAAAGCTTTATCCATCCAAACGTTCCAACGCGCACGTTATCTTTCTTTCTATCGAACAGCATTGTTTAACGATAACGTTAATCAAACGTTAATCATCGATCGAGATGCTCTGCTCCCCCCCTTCTCTCTCTTTCTCTCCATCTCCCTCTCTCTCTCTTTCTCTTATGCTCGATCAACGCAATAGTAGCGCAAAGTCCGCGACTCGCGAAAGCCGCGCGACTTTGAAATTAGGCGTCATGAGCGAATCAGCACGGCAAACGACGACACTTTTGCTCCCCATAGGTCTCGAGGGAGGAAGTATAAATACGGCTTTATAATACGTCACAAACAGCAATGTATAACGTCCTAACGACAATATCTTAATGGTTTAATGACGAGAGAAACTCACACCGAGGAAGCAAATATACGCTGGTACGAAGCGATCGCGAAATCGTATTTTTTGTCGTTCTCAGGATATCCTGTACGTTTCAACGTCGCCCTCCAGAAGTAAAGAGTATGCGCGAGTCTTCCTTCCGATATGTATATATATATATTTATAATTATAGTCGCGAGACTATCCTCCGTTTTACATTCGGCTCGCTGTTATCGTATCGAGCCAAACTCCAAAAGAAGGAAGCGGGACTATTCCGGTAGATCGAGGCGAGACTTGTCGATTTTAATCTCGACCGGAGTTATATCGATGTTTCGCGTACGTACGTTATCGTACGCACGTCGCGTGCGCATCATAGACCAAGTCTCGTTCCATCGATGATCGTAGCGGCGCCGACTAGCGATTTCTTTTCCTTTACCTTACATTTCGTTATTCGATATACATCGTATGTACAGCTATGGGCTGGCTTAAGGTATGATTCTCTTCGTCGAGAGTCTGCTGTTTCAAATATTTTACAGACTACGATGCGTAATTGTGTTAGAAATTATAGAGAAATTTATCGTTGTCAATAAATAAAGGAATGATGTGTCAGAGCGCGTCGCGTTCCCTTAAGCCTGACCATATATATATATATATATATATATAT